TTTTTAGATATAAAAGATCATATTTATATATATATATATATATATATAATATTATTGTAAAAAGTATATTTTAATTTTTAAGAGTTAAAATAGTCATATTTTTTATAGTGATGTGAACTTTTTGGGTGGTAAAATTGTAAAAAATAAAATTGAAGTGTTAAATATAAAAATAAATCTGAATTAAGTGATGCGTTTGCAAATGTCCAAAAAAAGCATGAGCTTTTAGCTATAATTCCCTTAATTTTAAATTTTTATTCAATTTAATTATAACTAATATATTATATTTACATTTTTTTTTATAAAAAAGGGCATTTATGTATCTACATGGAGAACCTAACAAAAACTTGGTTGGTGGAACAGAAATCCGATCAGATGTAGCATACACGAGATTGCCTAAGTCACGAGGGCGGTCGAGATGTCATTACCCTGAGCAACTGATTAAGGCAACAAGCAAAGAGTCATCCTATCATAATGAGATCAATCAGCCATCTCTCCTAATACCATCAAGAGAATGCAATAAGTCACAACCATCCCACTATGATCCTCTTGTCTAAGAGAAGACTACTCATTGGATTACGGTGATTTACCCTCTATCGCCTAAGTCACGAGGACGATCAAGATGTTATTACCCTGAGCAACTGATCTACTAACACCATGAAGTCAATCCAGAGAAGGATCCTATCATAATGAGATCACTCAGCCATCTCTCCTAATACCATCAAGAGAATACAATTAAGTCACAATCATCGCACTATGATCCTCTAGTCTAAGAGAAGACTACTCATTGGATTACGGTGATTTACCCTCTATCTGATGACCTAGCTTCACCATATTGACATCATCTCCTTCATGGAGATCGAGGGTTGGCGACCGGACCTTACCTACTGATTGGTAGGTCTGTGAATTTAGCTCGAAGATCGTTAATCGCTCGAAGATTGATTCGAATTTTGGCTCAGATCGAGATCGGATCAAAATAAACAAGCCAAGCTACGAGCTAAAATTTTGGATTGAATTTGTTTCGAGCCGGCCATACTCGGGCTTGAAATCGGATCGTTGACAACATATGTCTGTGAATTTAGCGAATTTAGCTCGAAGATCATTAATCGCTCAAAAATTTATTCGAATTTTTGCTCGAAATCATATCGTTAACAACCCTACCAATCAGTAGAATTATGTCAATCAGATTAGTCTTATCGACCACCGCTATCGAGCAAACCACAACCCCAAAATCCATTAGGCCGACAACAATGTCAGATCTAGCCCACCAACAAAGCTTGTTTGAGTCCAATATAGGGGTGTAAATGAGTCAAGCCGACTTGTGAGCTTGGCTTGATGGCTCGTGAGCTGAGCCGAGCTCAATGAGCTACAAGCCAAGTTCAAGCTAGCCCCGACTCAACTCGTTAGCTCATGAGTCGGCTCGTTTAAAAAACAATTAAGGTAAAATATACTCAAAATATATTAAATTTGAAGCTTTTATTTTTAAAATATTAAAGACGTTTTAAAAAAAATAATTGTATATATTTTATATTAAGTGATTAATTATTTTTTCTCTCATAATTGCTCATTCTATTTATCACTTTATCTTAACATTATTTTAAATTAATATTATTTTATCTCTTTTATAATAAACAAGTCGGCTCAAATCCGTAAACTTAAGCTCAAGCTCGAGCTTGAACTCGATAAAATTAATTAACCTCAAACTCAAGACAAGGGCGACTCGAGCTCGACTTGACTCATTTACCCCCCTAATCCTACTGTGTCAGAGAGCAGCATGATCATGGGCCCACAGAGTGAAATAGCCAGAATAAGATGTACAACCCCTATTCAAGTAAGGACATAATTGTAATTTCACATATTATATCTCTTATGTCTATAAATATGAGATCTAGAGTCAACAATTCATATGTAGATTACATACCCAATGTCTAAATTTTCATACATACATTCCTAACACTTTAATCTTTAATATCACACAAAACATGTCACTACCACCCAAAAGGTTATAAATGTAAACATCCATCTTTTAAGTGTTAAATACATAATTAATTCGGGGTGTATATGTTATAAGGAGAATCATATAACTAAACACATTATATTTACCAATCAACTTAAAAAGAAATTAGCAGCACAATTATTGAATTTCATGTGGTCAAATAACACGGTTTTGTAACGCAATATCCCGCGTAAATGAAATTATTTAGACCAGACTAATAACTCTGACTCTTTGACCAGTTGGGCCCCACACCACACGCTTTTTAAAGCACTCTTTTTTTTTAATTATCATTATTTAAGTTTAAACCCCATTAGTAGCTAATATCCATCTAACTTTTTCGATGCACTAAGATTAATTAATCTAATCCACTCGGCTTAATCATGATTAAGCTAATGACATTTTGTCGGATTCCAATCCACTTATTCTGAAGTAGAATATATTCGAATATTAATTATTATAAAATGGATTTCATTATTCTAAGGCGATAATTAAATTTCTAAGGCCAAAAATAAAAATTAAAAAAAAGAAAAACTTTTTTGCCAATTTTGCCAATTGCATGGTTACCTAAATTGGAAGTATTTAGGTCATCATCTTGGTCATATATACTTAATAATTTTGCCACTCTTAAGTAAATAGTAATGGTTGATCATACCTCCATGAAAGAGGTAACTCTCTCTGAATATGCTCCACCAAAAATCCTCTGATTCCTTGCTGCTCTCCTGAAGTCTCTCCTCTCCTTACAACTTAATTCCTCTCCAGTACACTAAATAAACACACTATCCTTTAATCCATCAGAAAGCCTCTCTTTTTTTCTACATACACATATATAGACTTTAAAACTTCTCATACAAAGCCCGCTTAGCCGTCTGAATAACTCCCCACGACAGGTGATCGAACTGCTCAAAACTATCTTAGGCAGTTGCTTGCACCTAGGTGCCAGATTCTATGTATGTCAAGTTTAGTATGGGCGCCTTAGCATCAAGTGGGTGGCGTCTTTGCTCAAAGCACTGAGATTGACGCCTAGGCGCCAGTTTCCTGCATGCTCCTTTGCACCAAATCTCCCCCACTTTGCTTCACTTCCAATACTTGTTATATGAAACGATAGGGCAACTTAATTAAGGGCCTGAATGCAACAATGACTTGCACTTGCTGAGCTTGTTCTTGTCATATTCAGCCTCAAGTTAATCTTGATTACTTGATCAATTGTTCTTTATTTTGTTTTCAACCAACTATACTTAACACAAAATATCATAAATCATAAGGTGATAGAATAACTTGCTTCTCTCTTCATAATCCTCTTAATAAGCTATTTATTATCTATATGACATGAAAATTTAATATATTCATTCATTTATTATTTACTAATAACTTTGCTACAATTCAATCTATTTGTTCCATCAAAACACCTTGTTAAATGTACATAGTAACATGAACAATCCTTTATTAAAAGCTCAATTTAAAGTCAAGTTCTTCCTCATATTGAAGTACTCGATTTACTTATCCTTAATTACATTCACTCTTACAAAAGTTATATATATATAATTTAACTTAATCCCTCAGTTGCAACTAATAGAAAAACTCAATAATATTATTTTTTAACAGACACATGAGTTCTCTCAACACAAATTACAACCAGCTCTAATAGTAAAATGGAAGCATTTGATCACCCATATCCAAACCCAAGTCATCCAAACTCCATTGTTGATTCTCCCACATGTCAAAATAAGCCTCATCATCACTCGATCTATCATCACAACGACTCACCGTCATCTTATCAACAATTTCTTCGCCATGGAACACATATGGCATGTTGCACATATATGCCATCTCCTGCATCTCCTGTGCTACGGCTCTCTCTTCAAACTGAGGTACTTCTAATCGTAGTTGTTGTTGTTGTTGCTGCTGCAGCAGCTGCTGTTGTAGCTGTTTTTGCTCATGTTGTTGTTTCAAGAACTTGGCTCGAGCCTTCTCGATATTCTTCGTTGACCTTCCTTTTTTGAAGTGAGTCCTCCAATAATTCTTGATCTCGTTATCAGTCCTTCCTGGCAGGCTTCGAGCAATCGTCGACCATCTAGTTTGACAAATGAATTTTAGTAAAAATGAAGCTAACAAAAAAAAAAAAAAGGGGGGAGGCAAATGAATTATTGTATAGAAATGGTTTAATATTAGGACTCACCTATTTCCCCACTTGGCATGGAGCTCAAGAATGATGGTCACTTCATGAGGTGTAATCTTGCCTCTCTTGAGGTCAGGCCTCAAGTAGTTAACCCACCTAAGCCTGCAGCTCTTTCCACTTCTCATCAGCCCTAACAACATTGAAATTTGTTGAAGATGACAACTTTAGGATTTTGGTAGAAATAATAATGTGAAAAAGTATATGTTACATATATAGTTAGTGATGTATGATCATCATAACTATATATATTTATATGTGTATTAAACCTGTTAGCCTGGAGACACAGTTCCATCTTCCTTCACCATGCAGCTTTACATGCTCAGTAAGGAGGTTGTCTTCTTGAGGAGTCCACGGTCCCTTTCTCCATCCATCTTCAGAGGTTCCCCAGCCATAATGGCCCTCCATGAAGGAAGCTAGAGAGAAAAAGAGAGAGAGAGAGAGAGGATTCTGTTACACTGAATCAGCTGAGACAAGGAGAATGGGGAGCAATGGCTGAACTTTATACCATTTTTGGAGATGTTCACATGAAGGTCACTGTCAAAGTGTGTATAATTCCCACTAGCTACTTTGATGTAAGACTGGATGGAAGTTCCAGTGCTGCCATTAATAATTAAGTTTATTCCTCATGGCTCATGTGACATGGCAGTTATTATGATTATTATTATTATTATTATTATTATTTGTGTGCTTTAATATATAAATGTAAATTTGACTGAAACTTACAGTTTGATGATAAATTTCAAAATAGTTATCTGGAACCTATGCCACATTCTCTAAGTTAAGATATTTAAACTTTTTTTAAATTTTTTTCCTAAACAATTATATATCAACGAGCTCCCGAGACGGCTTGATTAGCCTCAGCATCCTCCTCGTGCTCCTTCGGCCACCAATACTTTCTCTCTAGCGAGCTCCCACAAAAATTATAGTTTAGTTTGAGCTCGCTAGCTGGTTGCTACCACCACGAGTCAAGCACAAGCTCGAGCTCGCAATCTAACAGACAAGTGGAGCATCAACTTGGCATGACTCGAGCTCGACTCGACTGGTATACACATGCTAGTGCTATATGCAAGAAATGCGCTTAGTTTAATTAGTAATTCTATGGAAGAAAAGATTGAATCGAAATTTTTTTATTCAAATCTAATTAAAATAAATGTCGAATATGAATATATATATATATATATTTTAAAAGTAATATATATATATATATATATATAGTATTTTTGTATTTTATTATTTAAGTGTTAATTGGTACTTTAGTGATGGCCTCTTATTGTAATATGAAGACTTCAGTAGTGGGTTAGTAGTTTATTTAAAATGTCAAGAGATGAATCTGCACATGAGTCATGCAAGAAGGCTGATAGTGGGAGTCACTGATGAAGCATAACAAAACTCCAACTCTTACTTAATCAAATTTCTTAAATTTTCTTTATTATAATGTAAAGTAGTGTACTTTGGAACTTTAGTTATAACTATTTACATTAATATGTGACATTTATTATTGGGATTTGTAGTTTATTAGGAAGTCATCAAGCATACATTTACATGACTTGCAAGAAAATTGGCCATGTAAAGTTCTCTTGAGAAGGTTGATAACAAAATATGTTAGAGATCATGTCAATATGGTTTCAAGTGAAAGGGCTAGCACATGCATAATTCTATCCTTATATAGGTAGGATTCATGTATAATGAGTTCATTTTAAAAGGGGTCTAGGTGAACATTCATTAGCCTCGACACCTCCATAGTTCAAGATGTCACATTACTACATTTATCAATTTGGTCGGATCCTTAATTTCAACTTTGGCTAAATGTAAAATTGAAGGGATGTTCTTTCGGTTGGTTTTTATATGGTGGTCTGGATTTTAGTTGGAGGCTTGGTGGCTAATTAGGGGTGTCAAAATTGACCTGACAGGTCAACATGACTCGAACTCTTCTCGAAAAAAATCTGGGTTCGGGTTTACCCGAATATTTTTCAAATCAGTTTCAGGTCAGAGAATTCGACTTGTTTATTATTTGGGTCGAACCTAAACTCGACCAACCGACCCAAATTAATATCCCTATGTGTCAAAAATTGACCTGACACGTCAACACAACTTGAACTTGACTCAAAAAATTCGGATTTGGGTCGACCTAAATATTTTTGTGAGTCGATTTCGGGTCAAAAAATTCAACCCATGCATTTATTATTTAGGTCAGATTCAGTTTAACCTGATTTGGGTCGGGCTGCCATTTTTGAGTCGGACCCAAACACGATCAATCGACCTGAATTGATAGCTCCATGGCTAATGACTAACTCAACTCATTGGAGAGGGTTGAACTTTTGTTTAGCTTTTATATTACTTCTACATTGTTTCATATCTCTCACATCTCTACAACATCAAAAGTATTCACACGTCTCCTCTCCATTATTTCAATTCATCAAAAACTATACAATTTCGCTCTTAAAGTTCATCCACCCTCTTCTCCCACAAGTAATCAAGCCATCAACTTGGAAGCCCTATAACACATTACAACCTCATTAGCATACCCTACTCTTTACCACCATCCCTCCTCATTCTATGAATCACTCATAATGCATTGATCACAATTGTGTGCAAGTTACATACCAATTAGATATATGTTCTTGAGCTCTCCCTCTCAAAGCAACCTTAAGCAAACTACCTGACTTTTAGTTCCCTCCGCACCTCAATTCACTCATTCTCAAGCCTTCTAACACGTTCTCAGCTCTTGAACACGAAGAATTATGAGATGTGGAATTCACATGCATGCATTCTTCAGTACATCATGATTGCATTTGTTGTATTTTTGAGTTGTCTCAAAAACACAACAAATACAATCATATTGTGCTGAAGTCTGCATGCATACATTATCAACACCAAATAATTCCTCCTTGAACACATACCAAATAAGCACACACCCAAATTCACTTACTAACCAGTGACTCGCAAAAAATAAAAACCCTAGAGTCAACCTCTCAATCTTCTAGTCAAATTCACCACCACTCCATATAAGCAATTCAAATATCATTTCACTCATTCGTTTCCCACCACCAAGCTCTATCAAGTAGTCTACTCAATCATTTAAAATGTAATATTGCTTAGTGTTAAATCTAATAGCTCAACTATAGTGGATCAATTAATTATTTATTCATACAATTTTCAATTAAATTAATATTTTTGAGTTATTTTCAACATTAATATATATATTATGGATTTATCAAGAATAATTTAAATTTTCAAAATCAATTTATCTTTTATATTTGAGAATTTTAAAATAAATTTATTATTTTTATTAAATATTTATTATCTATTAAAAAACTCGTTGAACTAGTCAGAAAATGTGATCCATGGATTATGTATGTAACTTTTTGTCATTTCTTATTCATAAGAATAATTTCTTCTTTATTTTTTTTTTATTTTTTTGTTTATATATATATATATATATATATATATTCTAAATAACATAATCACAAAGCATATGTGATTACCAAACGGAATCTTAATTTGATTTATTACTCCACTGAGGGTATATATGTAATTTATCAAAAAGTAATTAATCAAGGCCTAAGTGAATCAAACAAAACTATGGTCCTTGCGTGTGATTGACATGCCCAATATTTATATTCTCAACATGATCTCTTATTAATTAAATAAAGTAAGGATTTCATTGTGAATCATACACGTTGCTCTTAACCTTTTTGTAAAGCTTTGGTCCTTTGTTAGCCAAGGCTTTACTCTTTAGGAAATACATGTCATCTCTCTTGCTAAAGGGTTTTATGGATACGGTACATCGAAAACAGAGTCAGCATGAATCTTGAGGAGATCCAACGAATTATACGACAAAACAGTATGGCTGGGAGGGCCTACCGGTGGAAGACCAATGGGCCCACTGGCTGAAGACTAACGACCCACTACGGAAGACCAAGAAACCTATTTGACTAAGTGCAACCCCCCTAAATCCAGACCAAAGGCCGAACCCAATCAAACAGAGCAAAAACACCGACGGACTTCTCGCCATAACCCAATTCAAAGGAAAAGTTCAACATTGCCAACCATCCCGCAGACGCCCTCAGAGACTCTTCAGAGAGAGAGGCAAAGAACGGTAAATTAATCGAAATATATGATTTTACCAAAGGAAAAGTTCAGCATTGCCAACCATCCCGCAGAAGCCCTCAGAGACTCTTCAGAGAGAGAGCCAAAGAACGGTAAATTAATCGAAATATATGATTTTAGTTTTTGAGTGCAATGTCATTATTTTAAAATCATAATATAAAGCATATTAGATATCATCAAATGAATTTTGTTGCCACCAAAGGAAACTTAAAAGAGAGAAATTTAGTGTTTTTTTTTTATTATTTATTTTCGAAATATTAAATGTCAAAGCACAAATATAATATAAATGTCTCAATTAAAAAAAATTTACAATTTTCATAAAATTATTTATCAGCTAAATTAATTGGCCTCATATATATTTTTTTAGATGGGGCCCACAAAGTATATTGGTTTATTTACTCTTAATGACTTTTATGAGACTTGATTTCGGTAGTAATTATCCTTATTAATAGTTTATTAGTATTTTAATTGAGCCGAGAATGTGGAAGCACATTTATTGTTTATTCTTTGCGCGTGAAGCGATGACCTTGACTCTTCCAGATGTCGACACGTGTCCCTTTTGTTTTTTGTAATTTAATTATTAATTAATGGAGCTGCTATTATTATTTTTATTATTATTATTGTTATTGTTATTTTGAAATGCCGCCCCTAATACAAACATGAGACGAAAAATTCTAGAAAAGACCAAATGGATGAGAGCACTGCAAGTAACTTTAGAATATTCCACCATATTCTAAAGATTGTTAGAAGAAAAAATTCAAAGGATAACTTAAGAATAACCTAAAAAGGTCTACGACCGTGTATGTATGTAACATGATGGTGTAGAACTATCTAAAAACGAGACTATTCTAATTTAATTTAGAAAGTTTTATTAGGCTTATGGAGGACTGTAAATAGAAGTCACTCCCCTCATTTGGATCCATCCAAGCATTCATCTAAGATCCATCCAAGGTTCTAAGCATTCTGAGTGTTGCAATCACTCTTTCATGGTGAATTGTTCTCTTTCTCCAATATTACTCCATATTGTTCTTCGAAGAGTGTTGTTTGCTTTTAAGTCCAAGAGTGATGAGTGTTAGGTTGATTTAGCGCCAAGGATGAATGCTAAAGCTGCATGGTGACTTGGAATAAATTAGTTTGTGACATAGAGCTGCGAACGATCTGATTTTCAGGTGATCTGTGGTCAGCCCAAAATTGGCTCAAATACACTTGATTTGTTGTATTCAAACTTGAGCCGGTTTCAACCAAACTCAATCGGCTCAAAATAGAAACACTTTTCAGTAAGATAAGAATATTTAATTTGCAGAAATCATAAAAAAGAACCATTGTTAGCGTAGCGTTGTTAAAAATCCGATTTCGAGCCGAGTTAAAATCTTCATAAAATTAACTTGAATGAATTGACTGCAGCTCGAACTCTACGAATGACTCATTATATTTGATTTCAAATCAGTCCGGCTCAATCCAATTCAAAACTGAATCAAGCCAGCTCACGTTGAGTTGTTTGAATCTGTTTCACCTAAAAATTTCCTCAATCCGGCTCAAAATCCAAATTAGTTGGCTCAAATTGAATCATTCAAATCCGTTCCAACTCAAAATCACCTCGTGGCTGGTTATCTTCAATTTTAGTTAGCTTTATATATATATATATATATATATATATATCTTTGATAATTAGCTAACGAGTAACTTGAATAATCAAAACACTAAAAGACAACAATACCTGAACATTACATAGGCAGATAATTACTTCAACAAGTTAGAAACTCAAACATCAAAAAACTTCAAACTTAAACAGCATGCATCAGTATTTTGACATGAAAAATAATGAAAACCCACAGAAATTAAAATCCTAAAACTTGTGATTTAATTAATAACCTCCCTTGAGATCATTAACAACATCATATGGAATGGGTGTGACCGTCTCCAGCGTCGCGCCTTCCACCATGAAACCAGGTTTAGGTCCGTCAGGCTGCCTCTTCGTGCTGATGATTTCTCCACGAGCCTTCGCCCCCGCCTTCAGCTCGTCGTTTTTCTTCTTCCTTAAACGGAATTCTTCAGCACATCGGGAAGGCTGCACGTGCTCGATGCGCACATGGATTCGCTTCTTGATGATCCGGTTCCTTACCTGGTTGTAATAAAGTAACAGAATGTTAGTCGCTGTGTTGGAAGTCATGTAAGCGATTGATGTTGTTGCTAAGTGATTGGAGGGCAAGAAATATCACTATATTCGGGATGAAAATGATGAATGTAAGAATGTGATGGAAGAAATGGAGAGTAAGAAAGCCATTGATATGTTATGGAAAACAAGAGCATAAATGATGATTAAGATGGAATAGATAATTTGTAACTATAAATATTAGGGGCATTTACATAAATAGCATACAATTCTTATGTATTTACATATCTCAAACCTAAACTTTCATATCTACACACATAACACTCAAATATTTAATATCAGATAAAAAAATAGCACCATCACTACTTTCTAAAAATGAAATACACATTTTCATGCATAGGATAAAGCACCAAAATGCTGTATGTAAATATGAAAGTTTAGGTGTGAGATGTAAATACATGAGAATTGTGTGCAAAGGATGTAAATTTCTTTAAATATTACTATGTAAGATGCATCTGTTTAAGTAGTTAATTTTATCAAGAATTATGATATAGAAATACAAATGCAATTGATGATTCATAAAATTTCTCCCCTTGATGATAAAAATTTCAAATTTATGCCATTAAAAAAAATAGTAAAAAAGGTGTTCATCGACAACCACCACTTCTAACCTGATCTTCTGTCATTTCATTCCTTTTGAGCATCAATTTCCTCATTATATTATATAACATCATTTCGAACGATGAAAAAATGTAAAAAATTGAGTTTCCTAAATGTGCTTCCATTTCATACAATCATCTTTACCTTTTTACATTCAACTTGTTTTTAAAAACACTCAAAACACCGAAGGACTAATTTGAAATCACTTTTGTTTTCTATTTTATTTTAAAACATGTTTATTTTTTATAACTTCTGTATGTTTATATTTTCTATTTTTAAAAATATACATTCAAAACATCTAAAAATTATTTTTAATATTTTTAAAAACAGCTAAATATATTATACTATACCATAATGTTTTGTTTTAAATTAAAATATTAAAAGAAACTTGAAAAAAAAAATCAAAAGTGATCCCATCCTCTAAAAGAGTATGTTTTTAATGCTTTTAAAAACAACTACCTCAATCAAACATGTTTTAAATTACATCAAAACAAAAGAATAAAATAAAATAAAAGTACAAAATGAAAAGAAGAAAAAAAAACAAAAGTGATCTCAAACAATTCCTAAGCATAAGCATAATGTGTTCGCTTTCACAGTATTTCGTATAACACAGTATGAAATCATATTTTGATTATATTTAACTTACGAAATTATCAAACTCCTTCTTTCATATTGGATTCCACGTTAATTACCCAAAACAATGCAATGCGACAATCATTAAAAAGTAAACAACCTCCATGATCATTCCATGCATAGAAGAACAACATCGAGTAATTGAGAAATCAAACACGAGTGCAAAGTTCAATTCCAGCAAGCACACTTGATTGTAATTGTTTTTGTTTTGTGTTTTAAGAAACTTCAACAATTCAATTAGCCATCCAAGTTTAATTTTACACTTTCTCTATTTCAAAATCTGTTTGCCATTTTATGGATCATGAAATTTATGATTTACATGTAGAATTGCATCACGCAGCTTGGAAGTAAAACAATGAACAAGATTTACATATCAACTTCCTAAAGCTGATGCATATTAAATATATCAGTAACCACATGGCATGGAACTAAAGTGATTTTATTTTAAAAATCAAATATATTCTTCATGATTCCATTAACATCATCGTCATCAGCCGAATCCTGGATTGTTTAGCTTAAAGCAAAAGAAGAAAGAAGATGATGATGAATTGTTGATCATACTAGCAGGAAATAAGGAAGATAATTAAGGTTTGTTACTAAGATCATTTGAGTTCTAAGTCTTCTGAGAGAACAACAACGCGCACTCTAAAATTAAATTACATTAATTGAATACTCTATGTGCCTGTACTTCGAAATTGCTTTATTTTAATACTGCATGTTCAACAGAATTGAACAAGTTGTAAATGACCATCATTAGATATTAAATACATCAACAAAGAAAATCTAGAGAATGCAAGATGGTAGAATCTATAAAATGGTAAACAGAGAATTAATAAAATTGAAAGAATCTAAAATTTAGCTCCCAAAGGAAAATGACGCACTAAAAGCTAAAAAATAAAAACATATGCTAGCATTTACGTTCTTCGGCATTTACATGCCTACCACCCAATTCTTACGTATTTACATATCAAACATCTAAATTTTACTTTTTATATTTATATCACCCAAATCTTTCATATCACATGAAAAAAACCCACTATTTTAACTTTTAAGAAGTAAAATACACCTTTTCATGCTTAGGTAAGCTAGCATATATGTAAAAATAGAAGGTTAGGTGTTGGATATGTAAATAGACAATTGAGTGGGTATGCATGTAAATCTTTCTAGTCAAGTTTTTTTGACAACATAAATGTGTGATTTTTTTTTTTTTTTTGAATCCTAATTCCATCAAGTTTCCAGAATCAAAACTATTGACATGAATTTGAATTTAGCGGAACATACAATCTCAAGATTCAGTATCAGTCCTTAAATGTGCAGCCATCATATATAACATCCAAGTCTCATCATGTGATGCCTTGAATGATTCCCATTGCAATATCTAATAACTAAAAAATCAAAATAACCATTACCAAAACATTATTCACAATTCAATTATCTTAGTGCAACAAGTACCCAAACACAGGATTTTAATTTTAAAGGACCTTTATGTAAGATTCTCAAAAATAATAAAACTAGATGTAAGGTTCAGTAGAGACATATAACATACCTACTATAAGTGTCTACCTATTCAAGTGCATGAAAATAAACCCACCAAAAAGAAATTAAAAAAATACATTCAGAACATATCTGGTGTGCAAAGATACCATGGAAAAATTCACAACAAAAAAACAATCAATTTTCATAAGCTTAACATGCACATAAAAAATATATTCGACTAATTATGTACTACTAAAACAAATTACAATCATCTTTGGAAATTTGAGTAAAACTAGCCATAAGAATCATATACAAAATTTATAATAAAAAGGAAATTGACATACATACCACCATATTATTATGTATTTACATATTTAACACCTAAAGTTTCTTTTTTTATATTTATAACACCCCCAAATCTTTCATATCACATAAAAAATACCACTATTTTAACTTTTAAAAATTGAAATACATCTTTTCATGCATAGACAAAGTGATCATAATATATATATATATATATATTGAAGTTTATGTGCTTATGTGCTAGATCTATAAATACATAAAAATTGATTTCCGTTCTATACGCGCCTAAGCGGCTATATATGTCCTATCAACACCTCTCTATTAGCAGAAGGATGTGCCTCGACATTTTCAGCTGGATGAATCCACTTCACCGGGAGATGGTGAAAGCTTCTTCGCAACCAATGAAGTTCCGTTAGTGCATTACAGGTGTGTTCATGACTCTTTCTTTGTCGGTACTGATGGGAAGAGAAGACTATTGAAGATCTAGCTCTATGCTAGCTAAAAGAATACAAGGCGCTAGTTAGACCCTTCATGGGCTAAGTGTATGGGGTCTAGAAGTCTTGTACATGAAAGTAAATCTTCAAATAAAAAAAAACACATGGAAAAACAAGAACAATGTAAACAATTGTCCAAAACTACATAAAAGTATTGGACAAATACACAACAGCCCTTTAGTAGAACGCTACAATCATAGCTATTCATGAATACTATTCCTACCCCTTCACACAATTAAAACCAAGCAACCAATAATTATGATCATCATCACAATCACCGTCGAATGCATCCCACTTATCTGAGTTGGTTGTATGAATTTACATCAGTACTTTGTTCTTGATGAATGTTTTCTAAGTGCTTCTTGAGTGTCGCCCGAGATATTAAATCTATTCTACACGAATCATTTAGAATAATTTCTATCCATTTTTCTTTCAAGTCCTCAAGCACTAACTTTACCTGCACATCTAAAGATTGCATTTTTCAATACGATCAACTCAAGATTTGTAAGAAAACATCCAACATGACTTGATTTACAAAGCGGTCAACTCAAGATCTTACATGAAACAAAAGGCCGCAGTTATAATTCACGAAAATACAGTAAATAAATCAAAACTATAAACTGATTCCGAGAAACACCAAAGAAAATACCAAACTTCCAACAGCAGAATCGCAAATCACAAATTGGCATCCAATCAAGAGTAAGAGTACCTGCTTATTGATTTCCACCCCAATAGCTCTTTTCGTAACATTCCAAACTCTTCCGGTCCTTCCATGGTAGAACTTGTGAGGCATACCTTTGTGTATGGCAGCATTGACCTTAACATCAACATACTCCCCGATCTTGTATGTTCGAAGGTATGTGGTGAGGGGAATGTACCCCTTCTTCCTGAAGGGCCTCGCGAAGAGGTCTCGTGTTCGCGAACGAAGCCCGTGTCCCGCCGGCATTGTTATCCGCCGTTAAACCTCGACTGCGAGCTCAAGAAAAGAAAGTGGAAGTCGATTAGGGTTTCGTGGAGGAGAAAAGTGAGGGGAATTGTAATTGTCAGAAAAGCCCGGTGGAAATTGTATAATTACGATTATGCATCTTTTCTTCTGCAACAGATCTGCGCCGTTCGATTCGCTGTGTAATTAAGACAGGCCTAATGGGCTCCAATGATGATGGTTATGAATTGTAACATGTATTTGGCCACCAAACTAAGCCATTTTGTTTTTATTACGTAGGCTAGTAATGATTTGCTTAAGGAACGAATGGAATATGAGCTATTTAGGGTCTATTTGGGGCAGCTTATTTGGTGCGGCGACGTTTTGAAAACGCACCTGATCTGTTTGGGTAAACTGTGTTTTGGCAGCTTATGCGTTTTCAAAAAGCCGAAAACAGTGTTTTCACACCGCACATGTCTAGGTGCGGTTGCAGCTTTTTGATAGCGATCTGACTTTTCCAAAAAAAAATAAAAATTTGTAATAACTACTGCACCTAGCTTATCAGCAGATTATTTTTAATTACTTTATCAGCAGATTATTTTTAATCACATTATCAACAGATTATTCAATAAGCTGCAGCTGCCCTAAACAGACCTTTAATAATGAGCTTTTTTGATAGCCCTAATATATGTCATGTGAGAAAAACGACCAGAATTTATCATCTTAAATGTGCTATAGTTAAAAGCATGTAAGTTTAAGGGTTGTCTGGTTTGCTAAAAATGAAATGCAATGTAAGAAAATTATATAGTACTATGATTATAATGTATTTAAAATACTATCGTATTGGATTTATCATTTTAAAATGTGTTATAGTTAAAACCATGTAAGTTTAGGGGTTGTCTGATTTGCTAAAAATGAAATACAATGTAAGAAAATTATATAGTACTATGATTATAATGTATTTAAAATGCTTTCTAATTGTTTGATTCATCGTAAAATAAATAAAGGATTTTTTTTTTGTTTGAAATACATTGAAAACAATGTATATTATCATCATTTTCAAATGACCTATTTTCTCAAAATGACTAGTGCGAATTTGATTATCAAAAGATTAATATGTCACTGTTGATATGCTCATAACATTAAGATTTACTTTATCGTATATTTGTATAATAGTTTGAAGATATTATCATAGATGTTTTAGCTAGCTCTCAGCTCAAAGGAAACATCACATTAACACTGTATGATTGCATAACGATCAACATCAAACATTTGTTGTTGATAATCATAAAACGTCTTCTAGATATGAACAAGAATGGTATTTTTAAAAATTATAAATAATGATGTGCTCATTTTGTTTAGAAATAATTTTTTAAATTCTCAAAGTAGTTTGAATCCCATATAAAATCCCATAAATCTAATTGTATTTGCTTATGACCTTTATCATAAGTTCATAATCATGAACCTTACAACATGTGTATGATACTTATCATAAATTCATAATTATTAACTATTTAATATTATAAAGAAAATTTTACAAAATATATATGGACTTTATTGTGAAAATTTTGAAGTAATTTTGATGGGTTGATGGGTCAAAAGAGGGCAAAACTAACACTAGATATGATAAACCTAGTGTAGAACAATTTTGGTTGGTTAAGCCAAAAGAGGGTAAATAGCATGCAACATTTATTCAAAAATTAACCTCCTAGCTATAGACATAGGGGTATGGGTTTTAGAATTAGAAGTATGCCCTCTAATCATTAGTCTCTGAAGGAGCTCTTTTAGTACATTTACATGTATCAGATATATTAAATGACAAGTGGACTTATCCGATCATCAGGGTCTTGGCAATTGGTGGGCGTGCAACAGATCGTTCTCCATCAATTCGCCTCGTCAGCCGATTGTCCCGCCTTGGTTCGACCGGTTAGTCTTAGGTCAATTGTCAAGCATTTAGTGGCTCAATCTTTAGGCTTGACTTCAAGGGAATCTTCTTGCTTTAGAGTTTGTCAACCCTTATACATATTCCTCCGTTCATTCGTCATTTGATTTGACTATTATATTGACAAAATAATTTGAAGTTTGGTGTGTTTTGGTTTTTAAAACTTAAAAAATTTATGTGAATTAGATATGAAAGTTTTGAATAGTATTAATATAAAAAATCAAAGTTTAGGTGACAAATATTTAAATAAATAAATGCCCCTTTATTTTATCTTACACATTTAATATTTACAATGAAAGAACACATAAAATATAATAAATCATGAAAGCCATCATATGTATAAAACTTTGTTATGTTTGTCATATTAATAAATAGACTTTGAAAGGAGCCATTAGACCAAAAATCTCTTGAATATGATTTTAGTGCTCTGTATGTAAATATGAAAGTTTATAGGAGTGATATGTAAATACATAATTATATAATTGTATTGTATACTTATTAAATACACCATTTTTTTATTGAATGAAAAATAAAATAAAAAAAATTAGAACACGCATGCGGTGAGCGTGGATCGAACACGCGACCTCCAGATCTTCAGTCTGGCGCTCTCCCAACTGAGCTATCCCCGCAATTTGGTGTCTCAAGATAATTATATTGTCATATACTATTTAATAATTGTTTTTGAACAAATCTACCACCAATTGTTTTCCGAGTTTCAAATTCTCGCTAAAATATCAAAATTCATCGTAAAAACAAAAAATTAAATTCTTCATATTTATCAAATTCTCAATAGTTTAATTGTTACGCGTAAGTAAAAATCACGTGGATGGTAGATTTCTAAATATCAATGTTTCTACTGTATTGTACTTTATTATACCTAAATATAAATAATGAACGTCATATTCTATATTATTCTTTCGAAGAAAGTAATTTTAATTTTCTAAAAAATAAAAGAAGCCAATATCAAACCATACAAGGATCGGCTTGAACTGACTCAAGATCGGCTTGAATTATTTTTTATTTATAAATATTATATATAATACTAAATAAAATCAAATATAATGAGTTACTAGACAATTTCGAGCTCAGATGGACACAAATAACTCAATTTGTGTCATCTTGTTTCAATTTTGAGTTCGCATTGAGCCGATTTGAAGTTTGAACGGATCCAAATAACTCAAATTTGATCAATCTCGTTTCAATTTCAAGCCGGATCGAGCCGATTTGAAGTTTGAACGGATCCAAATAACTCAAATTTGATCCATCTCATTTCGTTTTCAAGCCGGATCGAATTCGATTCAATTTCAAACCAAGCTAGCTCGAAATCAAACATAACGAGCCATGAGACAGATCGGCTCCAAATTGACTTGTTAACAAACCCAGTTAACAACCCTATCCACATATTATGAATCTATGTAACTTTATCTATCATACATATGAATCTTCCTATAAATCAAGTAATAACTCTCATTTGTGTATCTCAATGAATTTGTTAGCTTGTAATAATTGCCAACTTTCTTAAGAAATATAGCTGCCTTCATTGATTTATAGCGGTTACTCATTTATTCTCCTCATAATTACTTTCACTGTATATGAATAGGATTGTCAACAGCTCGTTGTTTGCAAACAACCTTTGTTCGACTTTTTAAGTCTATCTTGTTCGGTGCGTTCGTTAAGCGAACAAGCTGAACACGAACATAAAATTGTTCGTTCGTGTTCAACTCGAAATAATTAAATTGACTAAAAGGCTACAAAGTACAATCATTTTAAAACTATCAACTAAAAATTTTGAACAAAATTGCATTAAATTCTAGTTAAATAAATATTTTAATATAGATAATAAGATTTAAATCACGCTCTTCCCTTAGCTTCCTAGGTTGTGTGACTAGAGCCGTCAAAATGGCTCGCTGTTCGAGAACAACTTGTTTGGCTCACCAACCAAACATGCCACAATAACAAATTATACCATTAATTGATACATATTTCTGAAGTTCTGCGAAGTCAAAAGTCTGTGCAGGCCTTGTTGAGGAGTTGGTAGATAGCTTTCTCTTCGACCAGGAGACCCAAATTCGAGTTGGTAGAGAGCTTTCTCTTCGACCAGGAGACCCAAATTGCAAACACGCTCTAAACCACTTATTTCTAAACTAAATCTCATCAAGTTCGCCAAAATAAAATAAATAAATAAAACCACACATGTGCTCGAATTCATAACATATTTGCAAAAAATCCAAAAATATTAAACAAAATATAGAACCAGATTTGACATATTCAAGCACAATTCAAAACATCAAACAAAAACACAAACATCTCATTAATCCCTGCAGCATAGCTGATGTTGGTGACTGCCAAAAAGACTGGAAAACCACACTCCATTAAGGATTTCAGATGTACTAGACATAGATAGTAAGGATAAAAGAGAAGAACCAGCCTTTTTTTTTTAAGGATGAAGATCGAGCACGCAGCGCAGACATCCTCCCTCGTGCATCAGGTCGAAGGCCTTGTTGATCTCATCCAGTGTGAGTTGGTGAGTGACGTATTCGTCGACCTTTATTTCCTTTAGAATCAGAGAAAGAAATATCAATGTCTGCTCATTTACATACATATCACCTAATTCTTATGTATTTACATATCGAACGTCTCAATTTCTTTTTTATATTTACACCGCCTAAATCTTTCGTATTATATAAAAAATTTCACTTTTTTAACTTACCTTGTGCATGTACTGGTCAACAAGCCAGGGAACTTGAGAGCGGCTCTTGAAGCCTCCGAAGGCAGTTCCCTTCCATACACGCCCTGTAACGAGTTGAAAAGGTCGTGTTGATATCTCCTGCCCGGAAGCAGCAACACCCACAATAACTGATGTCCCCCAGCCCTGTGCATCAAAATAAAATATGACATTAAATAATTGGAAGATTTACATGCAGACCTCTCAATTCTCATGTATTTAACTATCTAACACCAAAACATCAACTTATCTCTACATAAAAAGGTGTATTTCAGTTTTTAAAAGTTAAAATGGTGGTGTTTTTAATATGATCTGAAAGATTTGGGTTGTATAAATGTAAGAAGTGAACTTTAGATGTTAGATATGTAAATACATAGGAATTGGGTGGTATGTATGTAAATGGCCTTTTATTATTTTGTGTGAACATATCTATTTTCCAAAGGAAGTTATCATGATCGTTTTGAAAGGCTGGTGAAGACTAACTAAAAATCCCCAGAGTGGTTTATTTTACTTCAATTTCGGATATGCCTGAAAGCTTAAGATGCATGAAAAAAGAGCCAAGAAATGGTATCTTGCAAAGTATCAAATCTAATATGATGCCGCCGCTCCACGCATACTTTTTTTGAGGCACTTACAAACATACCACACAATTCTTATGTATTTGCATATCTAAAACCTAAGCATTCATATTTAAATACATACCATTCAAATCTTTGACAGCACATCAAAAATACCACCACAATCTTTTCAAAGGTGAAATACACAAATTCATGCATAAGTTTACCACACCAAAGTGTTAATAAGTGTAAAAGTTAAACTTTGGGTGATAGATGTGTAAATGAATAAGAATTGTATGGGATTTATGTAAATTTCCCTTCCCTTTCTCACACTATATCTCTTCAGGAAATTTACCTTATGACAGCATTCCAAGGCGGCCCTCATCAGTTGGACATTTCCAATACATTCAAAACTGTAATCCACACCACCGTCAGTGAGGTCAATGATAACCTGCTGTATTGGTTTGTCATGGTCCTTTGGGTTCACTAACTCGGTAATTCCAAAATTTTTTCCTGCAAACAGATAAATGAAACTTGTTAATATGTTTTTATTTAAAAAATAAAGCACATTATGATAATAATATTAAATTTTGCAAATGTAATAAAAAAGTATTTTCTAGAGTTCTGTGCATTAGCACTCACAATGCAAAATAAAATGTAATTAAAGCGGCAGCTAATAGTAGGGATCACCATCTTAGTCCAAATTTTACTGCATAAAGTATTATTGAAATTTAATCCAATAGGAATGGCAAACATATTGTTACAGTAAAAAGAGATTAATTAAAATCTGTTTATTCTCAAAGCTATGGCCATGTCAAGCCTAATACGCACAAGCCTGCTTCATGGAAGATCGAAAATCTGAATGAAACCAACATTAACAAAGTACGAGGCAGTTCAAACCTTCGTTAAACATGTGGTAATAGCTGGTTAAAATATCTGAAAAAAATCGAAGCTTTTCTGTCTAAAACTGTAGACCAATGGTGTGCCAGATTTTCGCATTAAATAAATGCCAATGTTATTTCACAAAATTACCAGTGTCATACTGAGAGAATTACTATATTTTCGAAAAAACAAAGTTCCGAAAAATTATTGTCGGATCTAAACTAAACCTCAGGTCAGCTTGATAGATGCAGTGTATAATAGCTAGAGTAAATACCCTTAACTGAGATATTAGAAATCAAAACAGTGAAAACAACAAAGAAGAAGAGTAGAGAAATCGCAAATGATGCTAAAGAGCCCGTCTATAAAGATTTTTAGATCACTAAAAATCTTTATCCAATTATCTCCACCCATCTTGTGATCAACGCTCAAGTTAATCTTTAGAAAGTTTTAATAATAGTTGATTCTAGTATGACCAAAATTTATAGAGAATGAACTTTTCCTATAACATACAGATTTTGTTCGAGTTACGGAAATTTATGAAAAAAATATATAAAAAGGAAATATAGAACTCTTAAAAATTTTTTCTTTTGCTCCTGAAAAAAGCACATGAACTGATAAAACAAAATTTGATTTGGAGCACAGTAAGAAAAAATAGGGATGCATGAACATTACATTAAAGTATTTATCAATATGATATACCATTGATTAGTACTAAAAATAGTAGTGGAGTTTATGTTATTAAAGCTTTACATTAATACTTACAAAGGATATATATAATGAGATGTCTTGGTGTATGTTATTTGTAAATTAAAATAGTATAAATAAGCGAGATCTCAATTAAAATAACCAAAAAGTTCAAACGATTGAGAACATGTACAGATCATATGATTAGAACTTCACATGACAAGCAATTTTAATGGGCGTGAATTTGAGAATTATGAATAAATATTGTATATCAAGCGATCAAAGGTGTAATAGGATGAAGTTTCATAAAACTATTATATAGAAGAATAGAGATGCAAAAAATAATTTTACATATAGAGTGGAAACACAATGATTAAAATGAAAAAATGTCTTTGAAGTAATATGTAATAAGAGAATACCATAAAGAAGTAAATTGCAATAAAACTAGCAACATCATATGGATCCAGGTATCAAGCAATAAATAACTTATTAATAGCCAAGTTGAGTGAGCACATATGAGATTATTAAAATGAATAAGAGAAAAAAACTAAAAAAGAGAAAAATTATCATATTAGAGGTTTTGAATGAGTTGCAATTAATGAGAAAAGACAACAATAGATTAAGTTATGTGGCTTCGACTTGTACAATGAAAGGAAGATAAAACACCAATAAAACAAATAAAAAAAGTTAATAACCCTTATAACACGCTGAAGCAAATGAATAAAGAATGAGAATTTATAAAGTTGACAAAAAAGATATTATTCATAGTGAATTGCATGGTGAATTGAGGATGAATATTCAGTCAAGTAGAAAATATGATTGGAACTGAAGTATACCTATATCATACTTTTTTTTATCAATATCTATGCCAATGATTCTGGATGCTCCTGCTTTTTTAGCCCCCTCTGCAACCTTATCATAAACAGTAATTAAGAAAAACAAGCCAAAAACAAAAGCAGTTTAGTTATATGACATGTAAGAAAGCTTACTGCAAGCCCAACAGTCCCCAGTCCAAAAATTGCAACGGTGGAACCTGCTTCAACCTTGGCAGTATTCCAAACTGCTCCAAGACCTAAATGAAACAGAATAATCAAAAAATAAAAAAATACCTCTCAAAAGCATAAAAAAAACATGTATAGATACAATTTGATCAGAAGTTAATCATTCAGAGCTCCTAATCAAATAAATTTTATCCTTTACCTTGAAACTAGGTTTAAGAGTTTTGTATCAAAGTTTCCAGTTTCCAAAGCAATTACTTTGTTGCAAAGTTTTTGCAATTTATATCTAACATCTATAGCTATAGTGGTATACAAATAAGCAGTCATTAAGAAGGTATTGAGATGAGTTTCAAACTTTTAAGTTATAAATGTAGAAAGAATGAGATAGCCTTAAGGATCTGCAAAACTTAAAATGAAGCTATGACAATTCTTGGCCATCTTATCAACTATCTTATTAAAACAAAGGGGCATTTACATACATACCAACTCAATTCCTATATATTTACATATATAACACCTTAACTCCATTTTATACATTTATACCACCCAAATCTTTCATATCACATCAAAAATACCACTATTTTAACTTTTAAAAAGTGAAATACATCTTTTCAAGCAAAGTTGAGGCGTAGAATATGTGCAAAAGTTGATGTTTAGGTGTTAGATATCTAGATACATAGGAATAAAGTGGCATGTATGTCAATCTTCCTAAAAATTATTCCTGAAAATCACTACAGCATGCATGAAAGCTTGACATCAAGTAGTTTCTCATAATCTAGAGAAGAATCTAGACATATACAACCTTAAGCTTCTTTACCGTTAGATTAAAGCAGTAGCATACCATAAAATCCCACCGTGCCGATTCCCATAGAACAGCATGTTTTTTGTTAAGCTTTATGTCATTTGTTCCAATAGATATTTGTATGAAATGTTAAACCTTCTTTCTACTCATTTTTATTAAATAACTTATGTCAATGTTACCTTCTTACCTTCAATTTCTAATCCTTCAACATTAATTTTATCTGCCCGCCAAATTGCTATAATTTTCTATCACTTTGTTGTGTACGACCAAACAAACTAAGAGCCTTTTGGACCACCTTATCTTCAATAGATGATACTCACACCATCCCTCTAACATAACAAATTCTCAATCCATAATTCCTAATCTTATCACACGATCGTCTTAACTCTATTTGGCTATCAATAAAAATTTCTTAACCGCCCAAAACTCAAATCAATACAATAGCCATCCTAATTGCAGTTTAATGAAATTTACCCTTAAATCTCCAAGACATTTTTATATTAAATAAGACTCATAACAGTACATCTCCATCTTAACAATTCAACCTTAACACTATAAGAAATATCACCACCTATATCCCAATTCTTTCAAATAATATATCCCATAAATTTAAACCTATCAGCTTATCTTTTAGCAATATAGCTTGATAATTATAAAAATTAAATGCAAGTGAAATTTTCTTTTAAATGCTCAACCAAGGTTTGATTCTTCCTGAGCAATTTTTTATCTTTCAAAATATTTCTTCATTTCATAATTTTTCATATATTTTAAAAAAGGTATCAATAATTAGATCTGTAATTAATAAAAAATATACACCAAGATACCACACTTAGAATGCTAGAATAAATTCAAAAATACTAGGATAAATTCAAAAAGTTGTATTTATTGTTATCATTGATTTTCCAATTATGATTTGGAACTCTTTGGCTGCTCCACAACTACTAATGCTAGTCCATATTCCTTCATTCAAATCTTCGGAATCTTCAACATAGCTTACAGTTGCTTTCTTAATATCCATCAAACCAATTCTTATAGTACTCAATCCTCAAGATCAATAAAAAATAATATGATAATCCTATCTTGCACTCTTAGACCAAATCTCCTTCATAGAGAAACTTCCAGGAATAAAATAAAATTAATTATATAATATAGCATAATCTTTTCTCAAGTCTATGCTTCATTACTCTTTCTCCTCCCAAAACACATAACTTCATCATATGACTCATAAATTGGAAGACTGAAAAAGTAAATCTGATATTAGCAATTTAGCCTATACATTCAAGACAATGATTTAAAAGCTACTCTCAAACATATTCTACAAGCATAATTATCAGTAAAGCTAACTGTACCAGCTAAAACTAGTAACAAAACACAGTGATGTAGAGAAATGTACACAAATAAGAACAAAGCACAAAGATTCAAGTTTTATAGTATTTCGATATCACAGAAAAAGAATAATGGCAAATTTACCTGTAGGAACACCGCATCCAAGAAGACAAACCTTCTCCAAAGGGGCAAGGGGATCAATTTTTGCAACACTAACATCATGCACAACTGTATATTGACTGAATGTTGATGTTCCCATAAAATGATAGATGGGCTTCCCATTTATAGAGAACCTGCTCTTAAAGTCATTCAACATGACACCAACACCAGTTGCAGCCCTAACCTTGCCACAAAGGTTTGTTTTTCCAGATTTACAAAACTTACATTCCCTGCATTCTGCTTGGTAGCAAGGTATAACATGGTCTCCTGGTTGGACTTCAGTCACTCCCTCACCAATACTTTCAACAATTCTGCAGTACAAGTTTCGACATTTGCTCAATTGAAGATCACAATAAACATAAATTTTTTAAATTTTAAATATAAGAAAATTTACATACATACTACACAATTCTTATGTATTTACATATCTAACACTTAAACTTTCATATTTACATACATAGCACTTTGCTGTGATAAACCAATGCATGAAAATGTGTTTTTCACTATTAAAAAGTAGGAGATAGTGGTATTTTTTATGTGATATTAGAGATTTAAATGTTATGCATGTAAATATTAAAGTTTGGGTGTTAGATTGTAAATATATAAGTTGCATGGTATATATATAAATGCCCCTTAAATATAACATAATTAGAGTATACCCAGCAGCTTCATGTCCAAGAATACAAGGAAAGAGACCCTCAGGATCCTGTTGGCAAGATTCATATGTTACAAAAATGAATAAGCATATAGCATCAAACGTGAAGGGAGCAAAAAAAAATTCCATCAAGGTAGGGGACACATTAACTAGGGATTGATAAGTAACAATTTTGATCACCTCTACAACTGCGAGGTAATTGCACATGTACAAGCAAACACAAATAAATCAATGTATTTGCATAATTAAATTTCATTTTAAAAATTAGGGAAAAAACCTTTTTTAATTTAGTGTTAGTCTAATCACAACCATTTCAAATCAGACTAATAAATTCCATTCCCAACTCTTCTCAACGCTTTCTTATTGAGTGTTGTTAAAAGTGTTAAATCTATTTTGCACAAATCATGCAAGTCTATATTCCACAACCTTCTATCTATCTATCTATATACCTACATATAAAGTTAGAGAAAGTGGAGAGCATTTAGAATTTCTAAACTTAAACTTCATTATCAAATTATTTGAACTTTAACTTTTATAATTGTGTCTTTACATAACTTTCAAGAGAAAAAAGTCTCAACTCCAAATATTTGTCAAAGAGAAGAGCATGTGGACAAAGTTTAAAGTATCTGATAGTTAAGACTATGGAACAAACTCTTTTAGCAATAGATAACATCATCAATATCGAAGAGATTGCACTACTGTATAAAATTTTCTACGATAATAAAATGATGTATTGGACTAAAAACATCTCCATTACCTAAAGTTGAGACATGGTAAAGGAAAAAAAAAAAAAACTCAATTGTTCTACTAAAATTAGTCCATCGATGCCCGGATGTATTGCAAGCTTTTCCTTTATTAAATTAATCAGATGAGATTCTTCTTTTTTACAAGTGATAGGCGCCACATGAATCCTTTAATCAGGCTTTTATAGAATGTAGCCAAATCACAAAAACTTCGAATGAAATGAATATAATAAATTTAGGCTAAACAACAATTGCTTCTATTTATCATGAAAAACATACATTTCTTAATTCGACACCACAAATTCAAATATAAATTTTCTACTTGATAATTTAAAAACGCTTCTATGGTGCAACAAATATTCCTTTATAGTTTTATTATATATCAAGATATCGGCACAGTTGAGATATGGAATGAGCAACATATTTTTATCAATAGAAGGAGGGGAATTTAAACCCAATTATAATAGGCACAACAAAGAAAAGAAATAAAACATAATAAAACAAAATAAAATAAATAGGAAACATATAATGAGGGAAAAAAAACTAATAATAGGCAATAATGGCTAGAAATTGTCATTACAAATCTAATATTTTCCCTCAAGTTGAAGCATGGATAACAACCATGTTCAATTTAGATTTAAAGTCATCGAACAAAGAACGAGGAAGATTCTTGGTGAGAATATCTGTTTGTTGATCACTAGAGGGCACAGAAGGAACACAAATTTCTGCGAACTCAATGTTTTCCTTAATGAAGTGTCTGTCAAAGTCCACATATTTGATACGATCATGCTGGACTCGATTGTGAGCAATGTTGATGGTGGTCTTATTATCACAAAATAGCTGCAGTGGGATGGAGGTTGTCATACAAAAGACATGGAGTACGATGCGTAACCAAAGGGATTCACATATCTCTAAGAACATTGACTGGAATTCAGCTTCAGCTTGCTCCGAGCAACCACAAATTATTTTTTGCTTTTACACGCGACAATATTTTCCCATACAAATGAGCAATACCCCGAGATGGAACGTCGATCATGAACTAACCCAGCCCAAAGAGCATTCGTATAAACAACAATAAACCGAGTGGTGTGACGAGAAAAAAACAAACCTGAGCCTGATGTGCCTTTTAAATAGTGGAGAATCCAGTGGACAGCTTGGATATAATGCTCATAGAGGTCATGTATGAATGGGCTCGCTATACCAACTGTGTGACATATATCAGGGCAAGTACGTGTGATGTAGATGAGTTTCCCTAGTGAGGCTTATTGACAGACACAACATTGAGAATGTTAGATACTTTTTCATTGAGATCCACAAGGACAACCACGAGTTCACACAAAAGAAAATTATTCTCTGTCAAGAAATCACCAACATATTTGCGTTAAGATACACAAATGCCCCCGAGATGATCGAGCTGTCTCCATGCCTAAGAAGTACCGAAGAGATCTCAAGTTCTTCATTTCAAAGAACTTAGCAAGAATATCTTTAAAGGATTTTAATACTGGGAGATCGTTATATATAAGAACAATATCATCAACATAGACAATAAGGGAAGTTGTCTGGTCATTGGAGGAATGTTGGAAGAAGAAAGTGTGATAAAATTGAGCTTAAGTAAAACCATGACCCACAACTACCTTTGTGAACTTGTTGAACCAAGCTCTTGAGGACTGCTTTAGCCCATAAAGGGACGTTCACAACCTGCACACTTGCCTTCCGGAGGCAGTGGAGTTTAAGTTAAGAGAGAGAGACATGTATACCTCTTCTGTAAGATCCTGATTCAATAACACATTCTTGATGTGTAGCTGGAATAAAAGCCAATCAAGATTCACTGCAAGGTACAATAGGACCTGAATAGTGTTTAACTTAGTCACTGGAAGTAAATGCCTCCTCAAGTTAACTTCATAGATCTACGATTACCCTTTCATGACCAATGTGTCTTGTTGCATTCAAAGAATCCATCAAATTTGAACTTGGTGTTGAAAATCCATCGACACCCCCACAACTTTCTTACCCTGAGGAAGATCAACGGTGTCTCATGTATGGTTTCGCTGAAGGACAATCATCTCCTCCATTACTATCGTTTTTCAGGTTGGATCAACAAGACCAACCTCAAAAGTAGTTATCTATCAGGAAAGTAACAAATAATCCGCATGTCGGTAGGGCTGTAAACGAGTTGAGCTTGACGAGCTTAGGCTTGGCTCGTGTTCGGCTCGTTCGAAATAGCTCGTGTTCGAAATCGGCTCGTGTTCGAAATTGGCTCTTGAACAGTGTGTTCGTGTTCGGCTCGATTTAAATATTCGAGTTCGTGTTCGGCTCGAAAATGACAGCAAAAATTAAATTGAAAAAAATAGATGTAAAGTGTGGGATTTGAATCTGGACTAAATGTATACAAAAAGGACACTAACCACATTACTACACGAGATGTTATGATTTAAACTTAGATATAAATATATATAATATATTACTATATAAATAATTATATATATTTTTTTTAAATTTCGAGCTAAAATGAGCCGAACACGAGCGAACAAAGAGTTGTTCGTGATCGGCGCGGTTTTTAAATTCTTGTTCGTGTTTGGCTCGTTTACTTAACGAACGAGCCGAACCCAAGCTACTTAACGAGCCGAACACGAGCTGTTCGTGAACAACGAGTTTTTTTGACAGTCCTACATGTCAGTGATAAACTGCGAAAAGAGATATATTTTGTCATATAGAATTGAGGGAGCATGTCTAATTACATACCTTACTCGGAGAACTCACCTCCTCATTCGGAGGAGGGGTCGTGTTGAGAATGTCACCCGAAGTGGAGGTAGGGTCTTGTAAGAAGATAGCGGGTTCCAGAGTAGGAGAATTGGACGAGTGCACCGAGTGTAGGCACAGATAGTGGGAGGAAGAAATGATGCATTCACCTAATCAAGGGACTCACCGGAACAAGGGACTTCTTAGTGGCAGGAATAATGGGGGGTACATCCATAGGAGTAGGATAAGGGACAGTGTCTAAGAACCAAACTCCCCCTCATTTGTGGTCGAGCTAGCAAAATAGAGAACACTTTCAAAGAATGAGACATCAACGCTCACATAAATTTTGTTAGTGGCAGGATCAAGACACTGATACCCCTTTTGAGTGGCGAAGTACCCAATAAAGATACATTTTATGGATCTAAGATTAAGTTTACTTCAATTGAGGGTAGTATTTCAAACAAAAGCAGTGTAACCAAAAATCATGGTGTCTAAGGTGGAGAAAACTTGATTGGCAGGGAAGTATGACATCAAGACAACTAGGGGGTTCGCAACTTGTGAATTTTAAAATGGACTACTTATGCGATAGGTGGCAGTGAGAATGACATCATTCCAAAACTATTTCGTGACATTGGATTGAAACATAATGGAGCTAATAACGTCGCAGAGGTGACTGTTTTTTTCTCTCGACTACCCCATTATGTTAAGGAGTGTCTGTGCACGAGCTTTGGTGGAGGATGTCATTACTCATGAAGAATTCACCCAAAATAGAGTTGAAAAACCACGAACATTGTTGGTCCAAATGAACTGAATATGAGTTTTCAATTGAGTTAAAAAGAAGGTGTAGAAGTTTTGGAAGGTGACATCAATCTTTGATTTGTCTTTTAAAATATAGACACGTCATTCGACTGTGAACATCAATCAAAGTCAGGAACCACCGTTTATTGGTGTAGTTGGGAGTACGAGAGGGTCCCCATAGGTCACTGTGAATGAGAGAGAAATGAGTGGAAGGTGTGTAAGTGTGGAGTGGTTAATAGACTAGATCATGTTTGACTAACTAGCATGTCTCACAATTGAAATTAAAAATATTTTTATTAGAAAACAACAAAGGATATAAATTTTTAAATATTAAAAACAAGGATGACCTAAACGGTGATGCAATAACATAATGAGACATTCAATAACTCGAGATAAGCAACAACTCCTGAGAGGTGTGTCCTCACTGTCCATGCTCTTCTCTTGGAAGTAGTACAGTCCGACTACCCTCTTAACAGTTCTAATTATTCTCCTCGAATGACGATCCTGAAAAGCACAACCATCAGAAGAGAAATTAGCAACGCAAACCATATCATTTGTCAACTTGCTGACAGATAACAAGTTACATTGCAATTAGAGAAAATGTAAAACAGTCTCCAAAGTATACCAGCAATGGAACTATAGGAGTCACCGACAATTCTGACATTATCCTTTTTAGAGCACCGATAGTAAGTTGAGAAAACTTGTGAGCATCATGTCATGTGATCCGTGACACTTGAATCGATAATACATGGAATAGAGGAGGAAAAAATCATGAAAGCAATAGGAATAGTACCTTGTTGGACGTGGGAGGTCGACGAACCCGTAGAGACTTGATGTGCTCCAAGTAGCTTGGCAATTGCTTCATATGGTTTCTCAAGGATTTGGAGAATTCTGGGATGTTCCGAATAGGAGTTGGTTGAACTGTGGTAAATTTAAAGGTTGTCGTGAAGCCTTTGATAGCAGAGGATTTAACCAAAGGTTTGTATGTCGGTTTACCATAAAGTTTAAAGCACTTGTCCTGAGTGCGTTTGGGTTTGTGACATTAAACACAAGTGAAGTAACTAGTCTGAGGTGGCATGAACGAGGGCTGAGCACAATTCAAGATGATTCCGACAGAGCCAAAAGAAATGTGGATGGGATTCTGAGACATCGATGGATTTGTAAGTTCCTCACTGACGGATAACTGCAAGTAAGGCTGCAAGAAAGTTGCAAGAGTGTTGCAAGAATGCACGTAAGGAAAAACAATAGGAAGGTTGGCTTTGAGAAGCTGTTGGGATTAGCGACTGAAAGAAAAACTGCCTGGCTTGAAAGAAAAACTGTGGGGATCAGTGGTTGAAAAGGCAGTAAGTTTCAGCGTCATAAGTAGGATCAACTGGCTTAGAGAAGTTGTTGGGATCAGAAGCTGGAAGGAAAAACTATTGGGATCAACGACTGAAAAGGCAAGACGCTTCAGCTGCTGGTGGCTGCCGACAAGAATTCTGTACGAGAAGACCTGCAGGTGATCGGCGGCTAGGGTGCAACCTCTAGGGTTAGAGCCATGGCTCTAATTCATGTTGAGATTTGGAATAGAGCATCATAATTTTATTAACAGAAGAAGGGGTGTTTAAACCTAATTACAATAAACAAAAGAAAAAAATAAAATAGAAAAAGCTAATAATAAGTAATAATTGCTAGGAATTGTCATTATAAATCTAATCGGCACAATAAAAAAATTTCAATGAAGACCAAGAACATGATTCATGATTCATATATATAATACTCAGCATATTAACCAGGCCAAAAGTCAAAACCAACCATTCATTTGACACATCCATAGTTATAAAAGCAATTTTTATTCATCTCCTTAAAACATTCTTGATGATAATCGCTTCAATTTCTCAAATATCATATCACCGTCATCATCATCATCTCCAGCATAGCATATAACATAGAAATATGCGATCAATATTTGATGGTAATATTGTTAATTTTCATATTGTCTACACATTAATTAACTTCTATCTTGTATACGTGTAAGCAATGTGGAACATCATAATGGCTAAGAACCTCACTAATAAGCTAATTTTTCATTAAACCATCTACTTCTCATTATTTTCGATATGTCAAGTTGAATTTATTCTATAATAGGAGATCTGATAAAGATGGCCCATGAATTAAATCAATAGCAAGCTATATTGTGGCAATTCATTAGTAATATTTTTTGGAATATAAATCTTTAAATGTCCCTTCAAAAATGACAAATAGATAGGCCAAGAACTACAGGTGCCGCAAAATAGTTATTGGAGAAGTAAACAAAAAAACACTCCACCATAAAAATTGAAGGAGATTGCGCAGCAAAGGATAACAATAACATGCAACTAGAGGAAGATGCAATAGAAATCATTGGGAGAGTCATGTTTGAGAAATCATCATAGGTGACAAAGAAAGTAAGTCCACATCAACCAATTATCAAATTGGTTGCACGTTCCATCCTTCTTAAACATCGTCTTTGATGATTTCATGAATTTTATAAGCCCATATTGAATTACCATCCCTATAACTTCACAGTTTGAATAGGTTTAATTATCCAATTACTACCGCAAAATTGGACATGCCCTCTATTTCTAATTATCAATATAAACATGATTATTCTCTAATTATTTATCATCCTCTTAGCGTTTAGATTCCATTGATAAAATTTATTAAACAATTGGTCCCATAGATTCTACAAGTTTCCAAATCTTCAAAGGTGTCTCATATAGACCAACAACTTTAGCTCTAAGCATCTTCTTAAGGAAAACTCAACATTACTTTTTTAAATCAATATACACTTCATGATTATTATGTTGTCTTATTCAGAAAAAATATTACTTCCTTAATATTACCATCTCAAAATTTCTCAAAAATAACATTTCCACCCATCATTGGTGTTTGTGCCTTTATCCAAGATTCTAGTATATTCATTTATAATTCATCTAACCTGATCAAAGTGAATTATACACTAAAAATAAAACTAGAATAGAAATTGAAGCTAAGCAATAAGCTTCAAAAAGCTCTACCAGCAAAAGCAAAAAAAAACATAAGCCATGCCAACTCAAGCCTAGAATTTTCTACAAAACAAATAAACAATGAGTAAATCTTAGACAAGAAAGGATGAGAATAAGTGGCATTTACGCAGCAAGACATAAAGTATATATTTTTCATATAATAAAATGTATGAATTCCGCTCCAATAAAGACATAAAAAACATCAATAACCAGCGATCCGCAATTTTTTTCCATTTACTGCTAGAATACAAACATAATATAGAATTAAATTACGCTCCATCAAATGCTACAAAACAATACAGCACTCGCAAAAAATATTAAAGCCCAAAAAAATACAACCAAAAACATTCGTTCATTGAAAAACATGAATATTCAAATGCCGGAGCCTATAAAATTAAGAAGAGCCATCATAATTTAAATGCTAGAAAATATAAATAAAACAAAGCTGATGTTGACAAAGAAAATAAAAACTCACACGGATTCTTCATAACATGTATAAAAAGTTATGAAGTAGATTTCATCAGAAAAACTAGGTTAGGAATTGCTAATACAACAAACACATGGAAAGAATCCCACCTTTCCGCTCCAGGTATAAGCGTCGGTGTGGCAAAGAGCGGCGAAGAGGATCTTGATCCTAACCTCCCCAGCCTGCGGCGGTGCAACCTGCACATCCTCGATAACCAGCGGCTTGTTCGCCTCCCACGCGACGGCAGCTATTATTATCCCCACTCAAACCGAATCATAAACCAGGGAAGAAGACGGCCGCATGTTTGAGAACACAGAAAAGTAAAAAAAGAAAAAAAAGGTAGATCGGAGAAGATCGCTGTACCTTTGCAGGTGATAACTTGACCTTGAGTCGCCATGAAGCAGAAGGCGCAGAATAGCTCTCACTCACTGCTACTGCGATGCCTGGAAGATGGAAGTGAAAGGGACGATAGAATGGGTTGGGGTCTAGCGACTGAACCGTGTGGATGGAGACTGCATTTTGTCCAGGCTGGAAATTTCAGGCGTCAAAAAAATGAACTGAACCGGCACTTTCAATTAGAAATGTACCGGTTTGAGTTGAACCGGTTAGTTTTTTTTTTCGAATTGACCCATGTTTAGTTTGAATTTGACTGTTTGACCAACATTTGACATTAGTGGTTGTAATGCTTTAAATTAAACAAGCTTACCTAGGTAGGATTGTAATTAGTGAGATTTGTGTCGGATTTCATATAACATAGTGGGCTTTAACATAGTGGGCTTTGACTCATTATTTATATATATATATTATATATATATATATCTTAACAATGTATGTTAGAAAATTCTCAACTACATATAAATCTAAAGTCATAGTTCAGTATAATTTTTCAACACATATACAAATAGAGATGTAATAGTCAACCGGGCTTTGGTAACCAACAACAATTAGATATCAAATTGAAGGGGATAAAATATATAGTTTAGTCTAGTCAATGTAATATACTATCAAATTTAAAGTACAGAGATTCACTCATCTCTTTAATTAGAAAAGATGAAAGTAAAAAAATTAGCGATTGCCGAGACTTTGGTGACGAGCAACAATCTTCAAAACTTTAAGAATTAAGCTTCAATAGCCAGCTCACTCTTTCATCTTCTTCTTCCCTTTCAAGTGAAGAACGATGGACTATTTATGGTTTTTTAGAGAGACATTTTGCTAAACTTGGTCAATCTCCCAAAACACTCCATCGAATGGGACATATTAATTTCTTTGATCGCAATAAATGATTCAACATTCAAGTGTCTTAATGATTTCAAAATTGAATGATCTTGGGCATGTTAGGTCTTCTCGTTGACATTCTCAATTTGACTATAAGCGTGTCAAGTTTTGAGATCATTTAGTGATTTAGTTGATGCACTAAATAGTTAATTATATTTAAGTATATGATCTAGGATAATTTAAACTTGGATCGGATCACTTCCAATATCATTGGGTTCACTTTATCGTGACGTTTAGTTCGACTATAAATTTGCTAAAATTAGAGCTTGAAAGATCACAAAATTTAAATTTAGAATTTTTTTCTGCTCAATATGCATCGAGATTCATGTTTGATGATAAAACTTTTAATGAGGACATCAAATATTATCAGACAAAAGTATGTTATTAAAAAAATTTTAGTCAATGATAATTTAAATATGCTCATTGTAATCAAATATGCAATAGTTGACAATTGGTTATATATATATATATATATATATATATATATA